CTTTCGGGTTGAAGCTCCCCTCAAAATTAAATCCTGGATCCGCTGGTGAAGATCGGTACCGACTTTTCACGGAACTCAGAAGAACGGGTCTTTATACCGGTTATTCATTTGCTGAGAACACGTCAAAACAGATAACAGATAAGGTATTTATTTTAAAATACGTTAAAATTATATCATGCCTTATCTTATTTATTCCCAAGCTTTACTGAAGCACCCTACTTAACATATATAGATATAGATATAGATATATATCGTGCATGTTCCGCGTGCACAATTAAAGCCATTCAGCGTTTTAGAAATATTATATTAAAAAAATGTGTTCATTAATAAAGTATAAATACATATTTATATTTTATTTAATTTGTGTGTAAAAGATAATTTTTGCTTTCTGATGAAAATCTTTTTATCACAATGTAATCATTATTATTTAGGGTAAAAACACCAGTAGCTGACAGTTTACCAATACCTGACATCCTTCTCGAAAAATGGGAGTAACAAAATTTCAGAACCTCTTTGACCTCGATTTCATATATTTTTGGTTTCTATATTTATCTGCTTTAGTCTTGTCGGAAATAGTAACCGAAACAAAGAGTGGCAAATTAGGAAGGTCTCTTGCAGTCCTAGGGACAACCTATATCATATATATCAATAATAACAAAAACATATCAATAAGGACACCATACCTTAAGTCTTTGTTTTATTGTTTATTGGAGTGTCTTTAGATTGTTTTATCTATTTTAACTTATCTTGATGATATAATTGGAAATTTAATGGATGACAACTACTGGAGCCTTATGGTTGAGCTTTTTGCCAGTAGCTGACAGACCTGTATTTTTATCAGTGAATATGATGAGTCTGAAAAATAGAACCATTTATTACCCTCTCATTAAAAAAAAAGTATGGTTTGGATTAAATATAAAGCAAGAATAGGTCAGGATTGTTGCCAAAAAGAGGTTCTTGACAGTGACCAGTATTTATTCAAGCCAGAAAACGAAATAAAGGTATTTTTATAATAAATTAAAGATAATTTTAGTCAATATCTATTTTAATATGAAGAATATAAAATTTCAATACTTTATTTCGCATAATTATATTCTTAGGTCATACACGCTTTACTCATGGATACCTGATTACCCGTGATTCTTCGCCAACATGCCAATCCTGAGGGAATCCTCTTACAGTGAAACACATTTTAACAGAATGCAGAGCTTACAAAACATTTTTACTCTCTTGTGACTTGACAAACGATCTACACTTCATTTTAAAGGACAATACGAATGAAATTGATAAACTATTTTCTTTTCTGAAATGTTCTAGACTTGAAAATACAATCTAATTCTCAATGAAAATAAGGCAATAATGACCCTAGTGGTTGAAGCCTTAAAATAATAAAAAAAAAAGAAAAATTATATTCTTGTTCTCATTACTGTCTGCTGTAGCAACACTCAAAATCAAACTGTGTCAGCTACAGGTGCAACAAAACTATTCTATAAATTTACAATTGTTTAAAATTCAGATGGATGTTATATTGATTTGAAATATGTCTTGGTAAGATTAGAAATAGTTCTATAAGATGAATCCAAGAAGAATAAAATAACATCAATGTTTAAGTTTTTACACGTAAAAGTTCAAAGAAATTTCCTTAAGCATGTCTACCGGTGCATTTACCCTATGTAAAACTCAGAGAGCGATCATTATTTTTAATCGAATCAATAAGCATCAAAGGTCGATTTAGATTTTTATTTGTAAATATAAGTAATTTTCAATTAAAAATCAAATATAATAATTATTACATGATTTTGTGGAAAAAATAATTAACCATTTCAAACCCTACCTATAATAATTCTGGTCATAGTGTTATGAATTCTAGATGCAGGAAGGAAAGGGAAGAAACAGATGAAGAGAAACAGAACAAGAAAATCATAATCTTTATCCTATTTGTGTTGATTTCTTAAATATTATCGAATAGACTGATCAACATGTTTTAATTAACAGCACAGTTGAGCAACCTTACAGTTTTATTTTACTTTTTTCTTATTATCACAGATACTTATTTCGTGTGGGAACCAGTGGTGGATATAGACTTATATATAAGAAGGGCTTTCCACTTGGGGTGGAAGCCATCACCAATACAAAAATAATTTGTGTTTCTAGGATAATTGTACATGGACCATTACAATATGTGTATCCTTTTTAAATTATAACGCGTATGAAGCAACAAATTTGAGCATCAGTCAAGAAAATATACCTTAAAAGCATTATATATAGTTTCTTACGTTTTCTTCCACAGCTATTACCTTTATATTAAAAATACAAAAAAAAAAAAAGAAAAAAAAAGCCAAGTCTCCCTCAAAATTAAATCCTGGATCCGCTACTTGTGGAAACACAGCAACAGATTGGATGGATTATGTCTTCCTCCGAACATAGGGACTTTGAGATTCTCTCGTACTAAGAGATTTTTAAGTATATTTCATGATCAACCGGATTGGGAATGGAGTAGGTGTTTGAAGAGAAGAGATTTGAAAGAGGATACTGACTTTGCGTGTCGAATATCAGAAGGGATAGAATTCCAGAGGGAGACGGCTTGTGTTAAAAAGGATTTGTCAAACGCAGCAATTCGGTGAAAAATATAGGAAAGTTGATGAATTCTAAAAGCCTGGTAAAGGAAGGCAGCAAGGAAATACTGGCGGCGGCAGGACGGATGAAGCCACTTCAACTCAGTGTAATACTGTGTAATATGCGTATCTCCCAAATATGAGATCTGAAAGATAAAGCGTATTGAGCAATTCATTAGACGTATAAGTTTAGCTTCAAGTTCTCCCGAGAGTCCACCATACACCATACAGCCTTAATCGAAGTGGGGGGAAACAAGAGATGAAATCAGGAGTTGGCGCATTTTGATTGGAAGAAGATAGCGTAGATAGAGCGTAAACTGTTTCAGGCTGGAAATAGTACGGCGGGAAATTTGGGAGATGTGATGTCCCCCAAAAAAATTCCACCATTCTTCTTATACAATCCTATAAGTGTTTTGTCATACGTAGCCATGATATTTCTACAGGAGTCAGAAATGGTGGCTCTAAAAGTAGTTCTGCTGAACTCTCAGGGTCCAGAATAGTATTGAATGACACCAAACAATTTACTCTGTTTTTTGCAATATTTTTTTTTTTTTTCATTTTGAAAAATATTACAATCTGTCTCTAGGATATTTATAATAGAGTTCACAGATCGCATTCACACTATATGTACAATAAATAAAGTAAAAATAAATAATTAAAATTAAAATTTAAAATTTGCAATAATAACTTCCAACTAAACAACAATTAATTTATTTGTTGTATTTCCAAGTTTACATGTTTACGTTTCGGGAAAATATACTCCAATCTTCAGAACTACAATCCCATGTAGCTCAGGCCTTCATTAGGGCTGAGCTTCGGGTCGAAACGTCGGCAAATGTTAAAATAAAATATTATTATTTATTTTTGCCATTTTTATTTTGACTGATCACCCTAACCGTCCTTCTCTTCATTTTTTCACTACAGTAAACCATCAAGCCACAATAATAAAGTAAAAAATAGTATTATGTCCAATTTTTCACCATTCGGGAACACTGTACGGCGCCCCGGGCGATTGTCCCGGTTGCGGCGCCCTAAGGCTGACACTGTATATATGTATGTATATATATATATATATATATATATATATATATATATATATATATATATATATATATGTTTGCTATATATTATTCAGCTAATATTTAATGTCACTTATTTCTTAATTTTCATGAGGATATAACTATAATTTTTTTTTTTTATAATTGGGCAGCAATCCTTTATATTTTATATTTTATGAAAATAAAGTGTTTCTCTCTTAATATCTTATACTTTATATTTTTAAATTAATTATTAAAAATTTTGTATTTGATTGGTGAAATTATTTTATGTACATGTATTCAATTATCATAAGGAAATTTTCACTTAAATCAATAAGTCATGATATTTAAATTATCATAGCATAAATAAAAAATTATAATTATAATTCATAATTATCATAAGTATGTTTGCGGTTGCAATAAAATTTCGAATGACAAAATTTGAATCACGTGGGTATGACTCAAGCATAAGTTTAAGGTTATTTTTAACCAACTATTTAGAAAAAATATATAAATCGAATTGAAAATACATCATTTTAGTTTTTAATGTAATGATTATCTTATATATATGTATAACTTGTTTACTCCGAAGAATTGAAAAAAAATCTAAACCGACAATAAAATAATATGAAACTATAATCGTAGTGATAATAATATATACTTTCGTAAACAAATATTTCTTATGAATTTCGGAAAAAGAGATGTTCTGTTGCTAATAGTTGACAACAATATTCTATACTTACTACTCCAGAATCAAAATATATCGTAGAGATTACAGAACATTTATATATCTGATTTAAATAATATTACTCAAGAATTATTATTGCTGTTAATTGTAAAAAAATTGCTCAAAAATAATGATCAGGATATGATTTTAATTTACACAAAATAAAAATCTCTCTTAATAAAATCATCAAATGATTTTCAAAAATTCAAGATAAAAATTTTGATCACATCAGAATTTTATTTTTTTAATTATCGGTTTCAAGCACCTGATCATAGTTTTTGATTCAGAATTCCCAGTGAGTCCAAAACAAAGTTCAATCCAAAAAATAGTTTCCACCATATTTTTTAGCTGATTTCTTTCAACAACCAACTTTTCCAAAAAAAAAAAAAAATCTGTTGTAAGAGGTATTGATTCCGTTGAGGAATTGTTGAAACCAAAGTCTCTGAATTGAAAACTCTCACCAAATTCCTCTCTTTATTTTTCCTGAAGATATGGAATGAATTTCTTAAGTAGACTTCCTCTTTCTCTTGCCATATTAATGTATTTGTCATTAAAATAAAACAAATATATATGTAAAGAACCTTCTCATTTTAACATTGATTTTTAAAATATAGTTGACACATTGCATTACGCTCCAGAACAATATGTATTAGGAGGGGAATTTTTATTGCTAGTAACAAACTAACACCCATATCGCTACTAGAAAGCATTTAGGAATTGAAATGATTCAGTAAACTGAAAATTTGATGTTTTCATGAAGACAATTCGTAATCAAACATATATTCATATATACATATCATAAAGTTTTCTTTATATATATTGTGTTCGTATTTTTTTTTTTTTTTTTTTTTCGAAACAACAGAAAGAAATTCACACAATGTAATTCTCAGTATCGTTTACATTAGAATAACATTTTTTTTTTCACGTTTGCCAAACTTTAGCGAGATAATATAACTGAACAGATGGAGGAATACTTGTTAAAATAACTTAGTTGTATTTATATTTTTATAACGAAAACAGCGTTCTTCCAGATAACATCGGATTGTAAAAAAAACAATAAACAATAAACAGAAAAAAAACAACTATTGTAATACAAAGTTCTTTTGAAGGCGATAAATGCAGGAGATGGATAGTAGGGCATGTATCACTCGCTCCTTCAAACATAAAAATCTTCATTCTTCGACAGATTCCGATTCTTCTGAAAGTGTATTCCTGAAACACATACATCTTATATTAATTCAAACCTCACTATAATATAAATTTCGTATTGTATATTGTAAAAATATTATGTAATACATATTCAATTGAAAGGATAAAAAAAAATCCGGTTTTCTTTCAACAAAAAAAAAAAAAACTGTGTGATTTATATCATGGATAGGGGATTGCTTTAAAACAACTGAAGTTTAACCTATTATTAACAAAAATATTTTAAAAAGTCAGATTTTCCCTTATTCTGAATTCTCAAAGTATTATAGTTTGATCCCCTATTACGGTATTGAGGGGAAAAAAATACTATATTGGAAGTGTAAGTAGTGATTTGGACCTCAGAAGTCTTAGTCATAAATTCAATTTATTATTAAATAATCCAAATTTTGTCCAATTCGCCCATCTTCATGGGAACTGTACATTTTTAAATCTTGTTCATAATATATGTATTCTAACAAGAAGAATAGTGCAAACTACCATTGTATTAAAAATACAATTTCGTACTGAAGATCAATTTAATGAAAAGTTTAATTATATCAGCCGATAAAGAAATTGAGAAAATAAATACGCTTACAAATTTTAATTTATATGTAGCTTGGATTTTATTTTGAATAAAAGGAGTTGATATTTAAACTAAATTATTCAAGCCTCAATACGTAATGTGTTGATAATTCGGTTTTATTGAATGTATGTATATATGTAATACAAACATAAAATCAAATCCTCATTTTTTTTTTTTTTTTTTGTAAAGGGTTGGGGGTAAAGGGTTCCGAAAGGGTTCGGATTAACGAGAGTCCACTGTAATTATAAAGAATGAAGGGCTTATCCTAATGATAGTTTCTTCATTGAGAAGACACATCTACCATATTTTTTTTTTCTGTTGCTATAACAGACCATGTAGATCATTTACCGCCTTAACTAGCCTGCTCCATCTTTTCCTGTCTTGGGCTCTTTCTTTCCATTTATCTGCACGCAGCTCTATAGCATCTTCGTTGATTCTATCTATCCATCTGCTTTTTGGCCTTTCACGTGGTATTTTGCCTTCTATTGAGGCATTCATTGTTACGTAGAGGCTTCCAGATGGATTGCTACGAGCTACATGCCCCGTCCATCTTAACCTCCGTGCCTTCATGCCATGGGATATTGATTGCCCGTTTCTGTGAACAGTTCTTTATTGGCTTTTCTTCTCCATGTGTTAGTACTCTGACCCCTGATCGCTCCGAATATCGTGCGGAGGATTCTTCTCTAAAATATTTCAACACTTTTTTCTAGGATGCTGGTTAGTGTCGAGGTCTCACAGTCATAAATTAGAACTGGCTTTATCATATCATTGTACATCCTTTATTTGAGATTTGTCGGGATTTCAATAACTTTGAAAGGGAGAATAAAGTTCTATTTGAGCTAGTTATACACAGGTCTATTTCTGCCTCTTGTTCATTCATTGGGGTTATTGTGGAGCCAAGGTATTTGAATTTTTCTACTCTCCGGAATGATTTTTCTTCTACGCAGATCCTGTTATTGGGGTGAAATTTTCGTCTTATTATCATATATTTTGTCTTGTCTTCATTAACTTGTACGGTGATCTGCTCTACCTCTCTTATAGGAGTCGGAGTCGTTTCTCAATGTCCTCTTGATTACTTCCAAGGACAGCTACATCTGCGTATCCAAGGATTTTATGATTCCTATCATTCTTAGGAAGGATAAAACAAAAGGACCGTCGTCATTCAGTTATCTTACAAGAAGGGATTAAAAAAACGATATTTGGATTCTGAACGGATTTGAATAGAAAGCCATAGAATCTACGGTAAACCCTAAAAATCCGGATTGACATGAAATGAAAACTACGTCAAAGAGATAATACGAATAAACAATAATTCTTTTTGGCTAGAGTATTATCATCTAAAAACATCCAATTCACTCTCCTATGTTAAGTATATATCTAGTTCTTAGACAGCTTAGATTAGTTTCAGAAATTAAAAATTAAATGAGCTAGGCTAATACAAAAATAAAAAATTATTTGTTCAATTCTTTAATGTTGCATTCCTTTGACAGATGTCTCAATACTGACATGTGATCAATTAATGGTTGGATCTATTAAGATATGATAATGTGAGATCTAATCTAAGGCGGATCTGGGGGGAGGTGGAAGGGAGTGTTTTTCGGGCTGAAGCCTCCCCTCTCCCAAAATGGTAAAATAACCACTCCTTATAAAAATATTATCTCTAAAAGAGTTATTTTTCGTGTACATACATTTCATAGGACTTCAAGAATCGCTTATACGCCATTTAATATAGTTTCTTTCTTTTTTTTCCCAAAGTAATTATCGTTGTATATATAAAATCATTTCGGGCTGAAGCCGCCAAAATTAAATCCTGGATCCGTTAGAGAAATTTAATAATCATAATTTTCCAAAGATTATATCTTGAATATTAATTTTCACTTTTAAAAGTATTTTTAAAACATTCATTAAAAATAAAAGCAAATAAATTATTAAAAAATATGATAAATTAAAAAAAAAAAATTGTTTAATACGAAAAATAAAAATCGTTAAACCGAGTAGAACAGGGGTGTCCATCAAGCCACGCGAGTCCCTAGTAGTCGGGCCTATGATAATATTGAATATAAATTACAAAATCAATTTTTGAAAGATGTTAATTCTAGATATATGTGGGGCTGAAGTCTACCATATATGGTACTTCATAGTTTGGATCACAGTAACCATGGTATAGGACTCAACACAAAATACATAAATAAACTTTTTTTTTTTTTATTAAAGAAATTTACAACTGTAATTAATAATAAATACAACAAGTAAATATGAACAAGTAATATGACATGTACAACATGAGGAGAAACTACCCATTGGTAGCACTCCAATTATATTTCTATATTAGAAGGTCCCGAGGCCATCTTCTTTTCAGACGCCTCGGAGGGTTATCAGGAATAGATGAGGAAGCTAGGTTGGAAACGAGAGGGTTCGGATGGTTCAGAAGTTTATTATGAAAGGACATGTATCTGGATTGAGCTAAATCGGAAACATGGTACATTAAGGTCATTATGGATGATTTTATTTGTGACAAAGTAGGGAGCATTAAGGATTTTACGAAGGATTTTGGATTGTAGGGATTGGATACGAGAGGAATTTAATGGTTTAGTAGAGCCCCAAAGCTCGATCCCGTAAGTCCAAATAGGCCTTATTATAGTAATATATATGAGTCTTTTGTAAATATTTGGCAGTTTAGAGCTTTTGTCTAGTAGGTGCTGGAGTAGTCGGAAACGTCGGTCGGTTTCTAGTCGTTTCAGTCTGGTATGGGGGTTCCAAGTGAGTCGTTTGTCAAGGTGAAGTCCTAGGTATCGGATTTGGTCAACAGGGATAAGTGGAGTATTGTTAAAGGATACTGTAGGACAGGAAGCCATATGTTTACGACCATAAATAAACTTATATATTGAAATATATCATTAATTAAAGAGAAGAATGGTTGGGATGATCAGTGAAAAAAAAAATAGTAAAAATAAATAATTATATTTATATTTATTTTTTCCGACATTTCGGACCAAAGTTCAGGGCTAAAGAAAAAAAAAACAGACAACAATAGGTATGAGAAAACTATTGTTATCTGTTTACTGATCTTTACTTATCACCCCAGGTATGAGAATTCTTCTCTTCAATTATTCACTATAGTAAACCATCAGTCCACAATTACATATCGATAATAATTTGTTTTACTATACTTACTCTAGTCAATTGGCCTAGCCCATGGATGCTCTATATCTCCGTACTGTATCCCAGTGATGGTCTTCAGCATCCTTCTAAATATTGGATCCTGTTGTTCCATAGTTGGTATTTCTAAAGCATCATCTCTGTAGAAAATTCTTTTTACTGGGGTCACCACACAAGCTGTGCCCGATCCGAAAACTTCTATTAACTGCAATAAATAAAAATTGCAACATTATTGATTTTTTACGCTATTGGATTTTGAAAAAAAAAAATTGTATTTATAATATTATGAAAAAAATTAAAAAAAAAAAAAAAAAAAAAAAACCAAACGATTCCTGATATTTTAATGTGTAATTTTTAGTCCGTGGTACATACCCCTTTTTATCGAATTATCAACATCCGCCTGAAACTTAACATCTCATCGTAACCTACAACTATTTTATTTACGAAAACTTTTGGAATTGGAGCATTTTCAATACGGAGGAGGGCAAACTGTGTCTATTTAATTAGGTACTAAAAACTCGTAAATACCCATTTGCTTTCTACTTGGTTCGTAAGATAATTTGATCACAATTACTCAAGCACAATTGAATAATTGAATACTCAAGCAACAGTCCTTCAAGGACTACTTAAACAAAATTTTATAAATTTTGAGAAGGAGTTGGTCGGGTGAGCAACTATATAGTCGGGAGAAAATACTATATATAATAGTTATTTATTGATTACGCCGACGTTTCGACGCACTTTGTAGGTCTTCATCACGGCTCTCAGGGTTTCAGGCACTCTTTGAATTGATGTTAGGAGACTGTTATTGTTATTATTACTATTAATGTTATAACTATTAAATTTTTATTGTATAGCCAGCTATTATATATGCCTATATATCATAAATTGTTATTAAACTGTTGGTAGACTATATAAAATTGTATATAGTTTCTTTTTTCTTCTCAAGTAATTAAATACTGCATTAAATAAAATGTTGGATGGCTTAATATATTGTCTTGATAGCCAACCACTATAAAACTATCTGTCAGACAAAAATAAACCTAAATAACAAATATATATATAATTTACCCTATTTTCCTTGGAAAGATGCAGGAGTTCTGGCATGGTGATGACCCTCTCTATAACTTCAAATTCTCGCCATTCTTTCGCTAGTTGAATAATCGATTGCCTTGTGATGCCAGGAAGTATCAGGCCATTCAAAGGTGCTGTTATCAGCTGTTTTTCTAAATATGAAATAAAAATAAATTAATTTGCAATTAATAATTTTTTAAAATTTATTTATATGATATTTACAACTGTATACAAAAAATACATCTGGTAAATTCGCACATGGATATAATGACATGAAACACATGTTGAGAAACTACCCATTAGTAGCACTCTAATAATATGTCTATATTAGGAGATCACCTGGCCATCTTCTTTTCAGACGCCTCGGCGGGTTATCAGGAATTTAATAGGAAGCAAGGCTAGAAACAAGAGGGTTGGGATGGTTATGAAGTTTATTATGGAAGGACAGATATCTAGATTGAGCCAAATCTGATACATAAGGAACATTAAGGTCATTATGGATGATTTTATTTGTAACAAAGTAAGGAGCATTGAGGATTTTACGAAGGATTTTGGATTGTAAGGATTGGATGCAAGAGGAATTTGAAGGTTTGGTGGAGCCCCATAGCTCAACTCCGTAAGTCCAAATAGGCCTTATTATAGTCATGTAAATGAGTCTTTTATAATTAATTGGAAGTTTAGAGCGTTTGTCTAGTAAGTGTTGAAGTAGTCGGAAACGTCGAGCTGTTTCTTTTCGTTTCAGTCTGGTATGAGGATTCCAAGCTAGACGTTTGTCCAAATGGAGTCTTAGGTAACTATTAATTATTAACTGTGGGAAATGTAAAATGTCCAAAAACAGCGTATGGATCTCAATGGGAAAATTATTTGATTAGATAGTTAATTTATTAGTGATTAAAGGGAAATTAATTAATACAAGTTTTTTGTATAATCAATTATTAATATTTAATGGGTGTAAAAAAGTATGTAAATTCTATGCAAGCAATGATTTTTTTTGTTCGTTCTTAACCGCAGCCTCAAGCAGGCGGTTTCAGTTTTTTTTTTTTACACATATCAGAAATAAAGTGACACATATCTGTAGAACAGACAGAAATAAAGTGATTTCATGTTTGGTTTCATCGCCCCAATTATAGCTTAAATCACTTCCAAAATCCTTGCCAACAAAAAAACATTTACTTTTCTCATGTAGGTCTGTGTTATCCATTTGACGGCATAGATGCACATAGATGCATTACAATGTAACAGAATTGTTTTTAATAAAAAGTTAAAAAAAAAAAAAAAAAAACAGGATATACATTATTTTTCCCAACATGAGTTTGAAATGATAACAATCTTTCATTCTCTTCTATTAGTTCATTATCAACATATTCATAGCTTTCATCATCGTCACCTTTCTATAACTTTTCATAAAACTGCTGCCATTTATATTTAACCATAACCTGGGATCCCCTCTTTCATCATATTTTATTGCTCAACTCTTTCTGAAAACAGTGCAGGCGAAAGTAGAATTAGAAAAATCGTAGATCGTTGATAGTTTACGACAATATAAAAATGAAAATGTAACTATATGAACTGTGTTTAGAGGGGTTTCAATTAAGCTGACTGAGTTTGTTAATGTTGAGAGGAAGTTGAGTTGGATGGATTTTCCTCACAATTCCTGATTTGAAATGGTTTTCCCCTGACCGCCTACTCTTTTTGATAAAAAAAACTACTATCTGTGTTTATACTATTTTTGTTTTTTCCAGAAACGTTTAGAACCATTCTAATCGGCTTCATCTGGACTACAAGAGTAATATCAAGTCAATAAATCTAAAAAAAAAAAATAAAAATAGAGTTTTACTGTTTTTCTCCGGACCCCTTCATACGCGGGAGGATCTATGGGGAGAGCCCCTCCCCCCCCAAAAATGGTAAAACATAACCACGTATTATGAAAAAAAAAATAATTACCTCTAAAAGTATTATTGTTTGCTTAATTACATTTAATAGTACTTAAATAATCACTTAAACTCAATTTCATATAGTTAATTCCTTTCTTTTTCTTCTTAAGTAATTATCTTTATATATTTAAAAAAAATATCTTTCGGGCTGAAGCACCCAAAAATTAAATCCTGGATCCACTAGTGTCTTCATATATGTATAGCCTTCTTCAAAAGATTAAAAATATTTGTCCGGACTCCAGGAATTATTCATCACTATAAGGTCATTGCGTTATACGTTATGAGTTCCTTGAACGGAAGATAATACCTTGAACCAGACATGATGTCATGTGTCGATGACGTTGCGGAAACGCGTGGATGCGGTGATTCTATAATTGCAGACTAAATATTATTCTTCGATAGGATTTATTATCTCAATCAATTTGCCAGTGATATAAAATTATATATCATAGTAAATATCGAAATATAAGCATACTGTTAAGGATAAAAATTCTACTTGTACAATACACAGAATTGGAAAAACAATTTATAGCAAAATTTTGTCATACTATATTTGACGATCTTGTTAATTTGGGTTGTAACGTAATGAAACAACAATATTTTAATAAAATATCGTCCAACAGCCTTTGAACTAACAGACGCTTTTGATAATCTCTTTTCCATATGGTTCGTTTTGTTTGTTTCGATGTCTATGCCCAAAACATCCAGATCATCGACTAAATAACACTATTTTTATAGTGTTCATGTGGTTGTTACAACAAATAAAAAAAAATTAATAGATTGAAAAAAAGGACAGAAATAAAAAAAAAAATAAAAATAAAAGAATTAATAGAATAAAATAAATAAATAATGATAATAATAGAACTTATAGATAATAAGATAGAATAGATAAATAAATAAACTAAAAAAACTAAATAAATAAAATCAATAAATTAATTGAAATTATGGTGTGAATGTGTTCATTTATCAATATAATTATTGTCCCCGTGACAGAATATTATATGTCTAAATAAATAAAAAAATTGAAATTAATAAATCAATGAACTTTTAAAATTAAAAAAAAAAAAATCTGGAAAGGATTATTAGTTTTCAACTTGTTATATATGTTTTTCATTGTCTAGAAAATTAATAACTTTGGTAAGGATTTCTTCTTGATTTCCCAGAGATGCTGATATATTCTGGGGTATTCCGAGATCTTTTAACCTTGCGTTGTAAAAAGGTCACTATTCCAAAATATGTTTTATAGTTAATGACTTGTCACACTTTTGACATATGAGGATAAGATCTTGTGTTATGAGGTGGAGGTGTGTCAATCTAGTATGTCCGATCCTCAGCCGCGTGAGGACGACCTCTTCTCTACGACTGCTGTGTCTGGAGCTGGTACACGGTTGCACCTCTTTCTTTATTATCTTTAATTTGCTAGGTGCGCTGTTGTCCCATCTTATATCTATCATCCGTATATCTATCATATTTATCTCATCGGATATCTATCATAGACGCAGATTACGGAGAGGCGATGGGGCGATCACTCCCCCCTCAATAAAAATGTTGAGCCCCCTCTCCAATAATTTGAAGAAAAAAAAAATTGTTAACAAATAATTTACATGAATGAATGAAATATGTAAACTAAAATCTTAAGAAAAAGTCGACTGGCTGGTTAGCATAAGCCTATAAATTTCTAAATAACTATTTTATCACAACCTAAATATTCCTATTGTTTAAATTTTCATTTATATTTCCGGATAATAATAATAATAATAATAATAATATAATATTAACATATCCTAGGATTTTATGATTCATTCACTTTTCATGTGGACACCTCCATTTTCATGTGATTTTATAATTAATTTTCTATGAATAAGTTTGAAAAAATATATTTAATAAGTAAAAGTAAACATATATTATATAGAGAGAGTTATTATAGACATTTTTACATAAGTAGTTAGACTGTGAAAACATGGTATTTTGTTGTTTATAGGCGTAAAACCCCCAGGTCTTCAACGCCTACTTACATCGTATTTTTATTTTAACGTTGGGCTAACAATGAATATTTTTCAGTTTTTTAGTTTTATTGTATAGTATCCATGTGTTTTAGTTACTATTTTGATTAGTTTAGTTCTTTTGTTTATATACATTTACTTTTATTATTATTAGTTTCTGTATTATTAATTTTTATTTATTGTAAATAGAGTGTGAATGTGCTCTCTGAACACTATTATAAATGTCCTTAATTGTGACAAATTGTAATATTTCTGAATAAATATCAATAAAAAAAAAGAATAAAAGTTTTTTAGTTTTATTAATTTTTTAAGATGAAAAAGTTATAGAAATGTACCTACGTTATGAATTTTGCCTCCCGTTCGTTTCACAATATTTATGTCGAGTTGTTACACATAATATAAACTACCGTCATTTTTTTTTTTTTTTTTTATTAATTGCCAAATAAATTTCCCAAAATTTGGAAATAACATTTCTTTCTAAACCCAACAGGAAGCTATCTATCGAGCTTTCAAAATTTACCCACTTCGATTTCTTCACAATACTGTGCTGTTTCAATTTTGAACGGATGAATTCTATAACTCTATTTTAAATCTGGTCCAGGGAATTAGGATGTTTTTCTTCAAGATAATGAGCCATTGACTGGAACGGTAGACGGCACTGGGGGTTCCAGGATTTAATTTGTGGGGGAGGGGTAGGAAGGCTTCAGCCCGAAAGGTTTTTTTTTTCATATCTATAATGATAATTAATTTGAAAAAAAGAACGAAAGAAATTAACTATCAATATGAAATGATATTTAAGTCATTCTTGAAGTCCTATTAAATGTAAACACGAACAAAAATACTTTAAGAGATACTTTTTAATATTTTTTTCTATAAAACATGGTTATATTTTACCGTCTTGGGAGGGGCTTCAACCCGAAAGCCTCCCTCCCTCCCCCCATATCCATCCTCCCTCCCCAATCCGCCTGTAGTAGACGGTGGTTGGCAGGAATTTTAAAATGTATCTTGCACGGAGGGTCAGACCCTCCTACTTTGCACCCTTCTTCCACATCCCAATAAATTGCTTATAAAGTTATTTTCCTTGTAAGAATTTATTAAAAAAAAAACAATGTTCCCATAAAAAAAGTAACCGCACTGACCCAAAATAGTGTTCAAACATGGCAGATTGACGTATTTGATTTGAGTTATTTTTCGGTCACTGAGATTCGGGATTTG